GAAAAAGAAAAGGAAGGGGGAGAAAAACGAAGCATCTTAAGAGACAGATACTGAAACCAGTGTTATTGTCACTAATTTTTTCTCAAGAGGACCATCACTTCATGTGCCTTGTTTCATTGGGCGAAGACAATTGAGAAAGTAACTAAGAGTGTCTTGTCTCAGATTTAAAGGCATTTCTTGGACACTTAACTTTGCCCTTACTCAACAAGGTAAGTCCTCCATTTCCTTCAAATATTCTGACTTCTACATAATATAATGAAGAAAGAAAATGGATTTCCAACCTTAGGCAGCATCCGAAGTGGGTTCGTCAACCGTTTCAGAAGAAGTGTAAGATGCTCAAGTCGAAGAGTCTCCCTATATCATTATAGATACAACGTCCACAAGCAGATTAGAACAAGAAAAATAAAAACAAAACAAAACCTGTATGAATTCCCAAACTTCACCATAGATATTACAAATTAAAATAACAACCATATCCAACTAAGGAAAAGAGAAGCATCACGAAAGCAAGGACAAATGATGATCCACATATTTTCTGTAATTACACTTAAAAGAAAACACAATTTAGTAAATTTGTGTTGACATTCAAACGCATCTATGCTCTATGAATGTCCACCTTTGGGAATTAGCACAATTTCTTCTTGTGGTTGCAACAATGAAGAAGCCCTAGGCAACCACATTCCTACAGGAATACTTGAAGACAAAGGAAGCTCAAAGTGTCTCCATGAAGTCTTAAATCTTCCATATTGAAAATAGAATTAATATTCATATGAGTAGGCAAGTTAATCAAATATGCATTGGAAATAGAATAAATATTCATATGAGTAGGCAAGTCAGTCAAATACGCATTAGACCCAAAAGATCAAATAATGGAAAAGGGTCAAGGGCATTTAGAATATCGTTCAAGGCAGATCCAAATCATGATAAAGTGACCCGCATGAATTTCTATAGTCTATGATACAAATCCGCGCAAGTTTATAATCCACATCAAAGTAATCTTTCACATAATGTCAACATGTAAATTATGGTGGGTGCCCAGGTTTGGTAATGAAGAGGGAAAGTGTTGACAACCTTCTACCAATGGCAAGGGATCGCATTGAGCCAATGGCTACTATGACGTTTCTCTCTCTTGTTGTTGGCATTAGTGTTGGCAGCAGATTTAGGGTTTTTTAGGAATCTTTTTTTTTTGGTGCAGTAGGGTTGTGCTTTGTGATATCAGAAAGAGAAGATTAGTGCAGCATAATGAATCGAGTTTAGACTCTAATACCAATTGATGCAAGACAGAGAACTTGAGCATAAAATTTACAGAAAATTATTAGGAACCAACACTAGAGATCTCAATAACCAAATTAACTCAATGTTTGAACAATAATTGTATGAATAATCTAACCAAAAAATTATGCTAGGGTATCC